GTATTTATAAATTTTTATTTTTTATAATGTAATAATTAATAATAGTCAAATATTATAATGCTAAATTTTTAATATATATATAAAAAAAAAAACAAATTTAAATTTATTATATTTTTAATATAAATATTTTAAACATTTGTATAATTAAATTTTTTTTAAAATGTTAACTTTTTATAATAAGATTTAAGATATTTATATGATATTTTAATAAATTGATGCATTTTAATTTATTTAAATTAGTATTAGAAATTAAATAATTTTAAACAATTTTGAATAATTATAGATATAATTTTCTATATCAAAAATTATCTAAAATTGTCTAATTTCTCAACACTGATTTAAGTAATTAACTCAAATTAGTATTAAGCTTAAATTTATATTAATATAATTTTGTATTTTTATTTAAATAAGATTTAAATTATAAATTTAAATTTAAATAGTCAAATACAAATTCAAATTTAGTATATTTAATAAAAAAAAAATATAAATAGAATTATAAATAGGAACTTTTAGAATAATTGCAAATGTATATGTTTATATTTTTTTAATTTATAAGTTACCAAATTCTAATATAATATAAATAAAAATAATAATTTTATAAAGTGCAGTAAAATAACTAATAAGTAAATTATAAATAAATAAAAATAATAATATTAAAATACCAAAAATTCATAATACAATTTTAAAAATATTTTTATTAAAAAGTTTATTATATCTTTTTACTAAAAATTTATAGGTAGTTTTATTAAAAATTTTATTAAAAATTTAATTAGCTAATAGTTTTTCAAAGAATTTAAATATTAAGAAAGTTAATCAAACAGTTGGGTTAAAAAATATTACTAAAATTTGTAGATAAATAGTTTACTAAAAATTCATAAAGCAATCTTACTAAAATAATAATCTAATTATTATACAAAAATGATTAATTTAATTTAAAAATAACTTTAGATTTATAAAAGTAAATAATAATATACTAAAATAAGATAATTAGTTTATATAATATTAATTTTTAAAATGAATATATTTATAAAAATATTATAATTATTTATAAAAAATATAAAAATAATAAATAAAATTAATTAAAAAATAAAAATTTAATAATTTAATATTAGATCTGAAATTATATTAAAACTAAGCTAATAAACTAATTAATTTAATATCTCAAGTATTTTTTAAAAAAAATAAATAATTAACAAATTTTTTATCATAAATTACTTGTATAATTAATAATTATAATTAATCTTATAATAAAGATAAAAAGAAGGTTAAAAATGTAAATAATAACTTTATTAATTTTAAGAGTTTATAAATCTAGTTTCAAAATTTATTTTTTTTTTTTTGAATAAACTCTGTTAACTCAAGATCATCTTATAGATCTATTTATATAAAATTAATAACTATTACTATACTACACTTTTTGATAATAATAAATGATATATGTAATGAAAACTATATAATATAATATAAATAATAAAAAGTAAACTATATAATAATACATATAATAAAAGTAAATTATTTAATATATATTATACAAGTAATCTAAGTATCATATATATTATATGTATTACATGTTTAACATGTTATATATCTATCACTTTAATAATATTCGTCTTTTAATTGAAATTGTTCTAAAATATTATAAATTTAATTATTATAATGAAAGGTAAATATAAAATATAATGAAATAATTACCTAAACTAGTACTATTTGACATATTATCAAAATTATTTTTATTATTATCAATATAAATTCTTAAATCTAATTCTTTTTTAAATTGTAATTTATTATAAACTTTTTTTAAAAAAATTAAAAGAGTTAAATAAATATCAAATTTGAATTATTAATATTATAATTTTCTTAAATAATTACCTTTCTGTTCTTCTGTTAATTAAAAAATAATAAGTTAGTATCAATAAATTATATATTAATTATAAAAATTATTTTATTATTTTATTCTTTTACCTTTGGAAGCATTTCTTGGATTTTCTAATCCTTTATAAACATCATAAATTTTGCTATTACTTTTAGTTAATAAATTAGAACTTATATTATTACTATTTATTTTTTGAATATTTTTATTTTGATAATATTTTTTCATTTCATAAAGTTCTAAAAAAAGAGTATCAAGATGAGGTCGTTTTAATGGATTTGCATCCCAACATTGTTTCATTAATTGCTCATACTTTAAAGGAATTTTTGATATTATTCTTGGTCTCATTCCTTTAATTATTTTTAAAATAAAATCTATATTATCATCAAAACCAATAAAAGGTGATTGTTCAAATGAAATTTCCCACATAAGTATACCAATACTATAAATATCTGATGCATAAGTATATTTTTTATCAGTAAAAACTTCTGGTGCTATATAAGGAAGATTTCCATATATACTTTCTAATGGTTTATTAATAGGACCACAAAAACCAAGATCACTAATATAAAATTCACCATCATAATTTGAGAATAATATATTTCCTGAATGTAAATCTCTATGAACTGCATTTTCTTTATGAATACGACTAAGAAAGCTAATTAAATTAATAGTAATATTGATTTTTTCCTTCCATGTAAGTTTGCCATAATTCATTTTTAAATAACCTCTTAAATCTGTATCCAATTTAATCATTACAAGTAAATATTTTCCATTTGGTTCTTGTGTTAATCCATTACAAGTTACAATACTTCCCCATTTATTACATATAGTTATATGAGATTCAGCCTATAAAATACAATAAAGCAATATTTTATAATTATTTATTATTTAAAAACTAATTACTTAAATTTACATACCTCTTCAAACCAAAGTCTATTAGCACTTTCAACATTTTCTAAACGTTTAAGTACTACTTTTTGTGACCCAGATTTCTTAAGTTGTTGTTCATTTGAGTCCCAAATATACCATCCATCAATCCAATCTGCCGTGTAAATTTTAGAGATTCCACCTTTGGATAAAAATTGTATATTTTTTAAATTATTGTATGGAATCCATTCAATTATTCGTTGTGGGTGAAGAGTCTTAATTTGACATTTTTGTATCAAATTATCAATTTTATTACTTCCAGACGTCCAATTTGAAAATTTTGCTTTTAAATAATTTCGAATGCAATTTTCACAATAAGTTCTTGCTAAACATTCTAATTTACAATTTTGACATAATCTTTTTGTACCAGCATTTGTAGTAACTCTCAAAAAGTCATAGCCATTAACTAATTGTCTTCTTGCTTCACATGCTTCTTCTTTTGTAAGAGATTCGTCTGCAATAATCATATATGCGCTCTTTTCCTCTCGTATGTCTAAGTCATCAATATAAGACGTAAATAAATATGTTTTTTCAACTGAAGCTTTGACCAAGTTACTTCGAATAAAAACCATAGTGTAACGAAATATGAACAAAATTATTAGAACTGTCAAGTGTGATAAAAAGGTATTTATAAAGAAATGTACAATTATTTTATCTGTACCGAAATTACTGTGCAGCAACATTAAAAATCAATAAGATCTGATTTTTCTTGCCATTTATAAAATTTTTTTTTGACTGATTGAATTTCAATTTTTGTTAGTTTAATTGCTAAAAAAGGTTTATCATTTTATAACATATGCATGCTTTTATGCATAACAATAATGTCTCATGACGAGGGATTTTTTTTTTTACAGCATTCAGACGAAATTGGAAATTGATTTGGAGTCAGGTCGGCTAGTATGTGCAAAATCGATCCTCAAGAATCGATATAACTATGTTGTTTCCGTAAGTAACGTTGTCAAAAAGTTATTTCAAATAGACTTTTACGTTACATACTTATTGTTACACAATTAAGTTGTGAAAGATTTAATTCACTTTTAGAAAATTTCAAGGAATGAATAATAATTAAAACATAAATTTGCCTATAATATAATAGTATAGTACATTTCCAAAGATTTTATTAATATTATTATATTATTAAATTAAATAAATTTTAATAGATAGCATAAAGAAATTCTTTATTAAAAATAAAAATTTGAACAAATAAGCTATATATTATTATACGATGAAATAAACACGATAAAATATATTCAAATATTTGATAAAATTTTCGGTTATAATTTATAATACAAATATTTCGTAAATTTACGTAAACTCCTTTTAATAATAAATATTATATCGAATTATGGCCTCAAATTTGGAACTTAAATTTATTAGTACATAGTTTAAGAGAGTTTACGTGTCGTATAAGTGTTGGTTTTATGAATGTATGTATGTATGGGGTGTTACAAAAACATGTATTGTACGGTATGTACGGCATACATACATTTTTAGTAACCATACATGTATAGATGATGATCAAATATTATGGTTGTGAGACCATCTATAAAAAAAAAAAAAAAAAAAAAAAAAAAAAAAAAAAGATCAAAAATAAAAAAAAACCTATTGTCTCTAAAAAAAAAAAAAAAAAAAAAAAAAAAAAATTAAAAACGTTTCTTAAATTCCAACAAAAAAAAAAAAAAAAAAAATCTTTTTAAAAAAAAAAAAGCGAGTTACTTTTTTATAAATAAATCATCACCTGAGTTACGTGACAAATCTGGGTTGTACAAATCATGTATTTGTTATTACTAAAATATATGCGAAAAAATCAACCGTACAATACATTTTTAAACCATACAATACATGTTTTCTATATACCCGTATGTATTGAACAATTGTTTTTTTACTTATGCTTAATATTAAATCTTAATTGGAAGTACATAATAAAATTAAAACAACAACACCATGACAACATTACTTAATTTTGTTTTAAGTTTCGAAAAATAACGAATAATGCAATTAATTAAAAAAACGCGTGACAAATCGTATCTAATCGTGGCCTTTTTTTTTGCCTAATAACGAGAAATAAATTAGAGTAAGTTTAAAAGTTTTACATTTTGCCATATAAAAAAGGCTGAGAAGATCTGATATATGGATTTAATGAACGACTAATATAAATTGCCTTTTCATGAATCGATGAATCATGATCAGAAACAGATTTTTACAAATTTGCAAATTTCGACTCATCTACAGCATCAAATTGATCAGATAATTCAGACGTATTTGGATCATCACATATGGCGGAAACCCAATCTCCAAAACCTTCGTAAAGTTGATAGGCTGTTGGTCTATTTGATGGATTGGCATCTAAGCATTCAAGCATTAAATTAGAATAAACAAATGGAGTTCCTTCTATTTCACTTAGTCTTAATCCAGAACAAATCATGAGGTATATCATAATATGGATGTACTGTACACCGGCTGATAACATCCATGACCATGCCAAAACTGTAAACAACAGATTCTTTTGTCATTAAAGATTTCCGGAGCAACGAAAGGTATTACTTCATAGATTTGTTTTGATGAGTTTTCAGCCGGGAGGAAATGATGGTGTGAACACGGGATAAATTTTAAATTAAAATCACGTCACGTGATAAGTTCGCTATTAACGAGACATACATAGTAAAACATATGATTTTAATAGCAAACCTGATTATTCGAATTTTTATACTACTTCTTTCTTGTTCTACTTACATTTAGCTGATCGGAATATTGGTTTACAAATTCTTGGCTCATGTTTTGTGAATTATTTAACCGCTTTAATTGGTCCGTTACGTTCCCATATTTCTGCCTCTTCATCCAATTTCCATTTTGGACCTTCCATCCAAATTGCGGAATAAAGATTGTCCAAATTCTCTTCGGCGTTTAGTTGAGTATGTCTAATTAATAAATTCATCTATTATCGAACCTTCGCTTGACAAGTTTCGAAATTGCTCTTTCAACCTTGCAAGATCACAATGTTTACACCAAGCTGCTGATTTCGTTTGTATCCGCATTCTAAGCATTTGTTTATAATAAAGCTTTATTAGTTGAAGAATATCCAGACGAGGGTCTAGAGAAGATTCTGAATCCAGTTTAAAATTTTATATAAAAGACCTTTTTTTCGTGGAACTCGTATTTTTTTTCCTTTTGGGATAATAGATAGACCTTTATAATAAATTATTTTGATTGTCATGTAAAATTAAATATCATGTCACAGTATGACGATGAGTGATCGTCTTGTCGAACAAGTATTGTTACCAAATGCGGTCAAATAAAAACAATGGGAATACCTCGAGCGTGACTAAATTACGATTTTTATTTATTATCAATCAAGGTAGGAAAATCGTTTTTATTTACAGTATATATATTCCTATATTAGCAAATAGCAAAAATTGAAACCCTATATTTCGACGGATTTTTTTTATAGGAAGTTTGACCTTTGACGGGAATTTAATATTGTTTCGAGTTTCGACGGTTTTGCCAGGTAACTATAATATAAATGATGTAACTCTTATGTAATCATATATATAAATGTATACTCCCATGAAGGTGAAAATAAGAAATCAAGCAAGAGATTTAAGGAGAATGAAAATATTAATGTAGATGATAATGGCAACCAGAAAAAGACGCGAAAATGTAAACGTTGTCAAGGAACTGGTCATGATATGCGAAATTGCAAAGTTTTAATTGAAAAAATTTGAAGAATTAATACGTTAATACGTTTAACTATAGTAATAGTATAAATTGTATTGTATTTTAATAATAAATATATGGGCGTATCGCCTGCGGTTATAATTAGCAATTTTCTTTTTTAAATTACTTAAAAAAAAAAATTAATATTACACAAATATGATTCGTTATTATAAAAATGCATGCATGCATATAGGATTCGTTATTTTTTTTTTTTTCTATCCCCCGGTCTTTTTATTTTTATTTTTTTATTTTTTTAATTTTTTTTTTATTCCTCCCCGTCTTTTTTAATTTTTAAAAACAATATCCCATGTAAACAAACACTTGCCAAAATTTTCTATACTTATCTTCCTGTCTTTATATTTTAAAAGTATGACTTTAAACATATTAAGCTATGACTGTAATCTCTTATATTCAAAAAGTTAACCTTTCAATGGCTACATTGAAAAAGGATTAACTATATTTGTCCAATAAAATGGGATGATTCTCTTCTCTTCTTTTAATCAACTAAAAAGTTCGATTTATCTCAAAGCCGTTAGAACTACTGATCAGAGGATATATGAAAAGATTTCAATTGATAAAAGAAATATATTAATGTCAAAGTAAAATAAATTTTTACTATTTCCATATTTTGTTATGAGATGTATGGTGATGATCGATTGTTTTATTTTTTGGATTATGCTTAATGTGTAAAATCTTAATTGGAAGTTGCATAGTAATATGACAACACCATTACAACAATATTACTTAATTTTGATTTTTTGAACGTGCTGTGATTTCCGATTTTTCGAAAAATATAAAAAAAAAAAAAAAAGCGTGATAAAACGTACATAAACGGTGGCCCTTTTTTTGCCTAACGACGAGAAATAAAATACGAATTAAATGAGAAAAATTTAAAAAGTCCATTCTCCTATTTACATTTTGCCGTATAAAAAAGATTGAGAAGATTTGATATGCGGATTTAACGGACGACTAGTATAAATTGCCTTTCCATGAATAGATAAATCATGATCAGAAACAGATTTTTACAAATTTGCAAATTTCGACTCATCTACAGCATCAAATTGATCAGATAATTCAGACGTATTTGGATCATCACATATTGCGGAAACCCAATCTCCAAAACCTTCGTAAAGTTGATAGGCTGTTGGCCTATTTGATAGATTGGCATCTAAACATTTAAGCATTAATTTAGAATAAATAGGTGGAGTTCCTTCTATAACACTTGGTCTTAACCCAGAGCAGATTTCTTGAACAAGTTGCAAATCATAAGGGCGTTCACCGGCTGATAACATCCACATGATCATGCAAAAACTGTATACATCCATCAGATTTTTTTGTTGGCGAATTTCCATTAAAAATTTCTGGTGTAACGAAAGGTATTACTCCATGGATTTGTTTTGATGGGTTATCAACCGGACCGTGCAAACCACTATCCGCGATTATAGTATCAATTGAACCTGCCTTTCGTTGGCGTATTTCCATTAAAAAGAGCTCCGTAGTTACGAAAGGTATTGCGCCATAAATTTGTTTTGATGGGTTATCTACTGGACCGTGCAAGCAATTATCCGCGATTCTAGAATCTATTGAATCTGCTTCGTTTTCAACTAATATATTTCCTCCGTGTATGTGTCCATGAACGAGGCCAGCTTCATGAATAACATTAAGACCAACTGCTAGTGACCATATCATATCTACTATATCTCTCCAGCAAAGAAGCCCGGTAGATTGTTCAAAATATTCATATAAATCTCCCTGTTCATAATATCTCATAACGAGCATATAACATGACGTTGAATCCTTAGTCATACCAAAACAATCAGCAAAAGCGCCATTTTGTAAACATCGGTAATATCTATATAACTTTTTAGTGAAAATTAAAATATAAACAGAAATAAGTAAATATTGTTGACACGAGGAAGTTTTTTAATCCATTATAATAACTGTAACAATTTTTATA